CTTTTAATAACTTTACAAGCACAAGACTAGCTGAATCCCTCTAACAAAAGCTCGTTGCAGCTCCTTTTATCCAGACTGGACTTAAAGGCTGTCAATCTTATTCATTAGAGACCTTTAGATTCCAGGACGAGCACAACTACGAATACAAGATTTGACTTAAAGTTTTTTCACATATTCTCAAAATATAGATTCCCCGAAAGGCTTCATTTTACCATTTTCACTTGAAAAATTAGCACTGTTATCTTTAGTAAGGGAGGTTACACACTCTCCCGATCGCAAAATGATAAAAATTCTAACATTTGATATCTTGTTTCCGCCACTTCTACATTCTCGCTAAACTCGTAGTAGATTGACGAATGCTATCACGTTTTCCAGCCAAAATGACGCTGGTTCACGCACGAGCACTACTCAGTAGTGGTAAAATATCGTTCTCGTAGTCGTACTTGTCTTAGAATCTTAAGGTCTCTAATTTAAATTAACATTAGCAGAAATTCGATTTGCTACAAGAATTATTAATTTACTTTCCTACGAGGTTATAGCGTAACAAAAAAAATCTACTTTTACTCTAAAATTCACATAGGTCCAGTAAATGTCCCGTCCTAACAAAATAGTCAGAGAGATATAAAAAATACAAAGAAGGTTCATACTAATACAAATCAACTACGTACAATACCAGTACTTCTAAAAGTACAATTCGTCATTTTTCGTACAGTACCAAACTTGTCGTTTGAAACCTTCTTGTTGGAATATCATAACAATATTAATTAGTCCCGCCTTTTTACATACATTAACTCAAAAATTGTTTACGAGTTTACTAGGAAAAACCCGTGTTAGCTAAGAACAATATTGCATCATGGACTAATAAATTGAACAACAGATATTTACTTTCCACGTAATCTCAAACAATCATGAATAAATTACGTTTAATGATGGGGGTATATGATCCAGTTGTGAACTCAGATAATCAGGGTTTTAGCCTGCAAACAGGGGCCAGTTCAACGAAAGTCTCAAAAGTGCAATAGATTGATAAAAACAGTACTTCCTTGGTGGAACTTCATTAATCTAGACAACAACTTTGACTGGTAATACAAACCAAAGGGTTTTTTTCGTTTGAACACTTAAATCAACTGAGTAAATAATTCTGTAATTTTTATTTTAGCAAAAGATAGAACTTACCAAATCATACTACGGCACTTGCTTGTTTAAAAACTTGTTTAAATGTGCCAGCTTGAGGCATGAAAAGTTACCGGGACTTTCAACAATAAAGACCGTTTTTTTTTGCTGCGGAAGTGCAGTGAGTCTCTTTAGCTAGTTTACAGGCACTCCACTGGAATAATTGGTGAATAAACAATAAAAATAAAACGTAAGGGGATTAAAAAAAACTGTCTGGAAGTAGGCAACCAGTTGGTTATTGAGCAGCTCATGTCCTGCTTGCAATCCCAACCCTAATCTCAAGTTCGGATTGATCCGTGCTCCCCATCGCACCCTCCACAGACAATCCTAAGCCTAAATTTTTAGTATGCCAGGCGTTATCACCCCTCACTCTGTCGGCACCATACATGTCTCTGAACGTCTGTTTACTGGCCTCCCGACGACCGCCGTAAAGTTTTACATTCCACCAATTTCTGAATAAGTTGAAATCAAAAGGAACGGAATACATGATAGCTAATGTCTTGTCTAAGGCTCGTATGTAGTACGTGAAGACTCCAACGGCTCCTCTAGGTATAGGTCCCGCAGTTTTTCGAGCTCCCCATAGTATGGCCTCACCTAATGAGAACAAGCATATAGGTATGTGTGTTTTGTCCAAATTCTAATAATTTCCCGAGCCCTTAGGCGTGGGAAATTATTAGGATTTGGACAAAACGCGCGTGAAATTATTCCCTAATTTAACGAGTATACCATTTGATTACCTATTAATATCATGGGTGACGAATTACGTTAGCAATCTTGGATTTTTGACATGTTTATCCTGGATCGTATCGATCGAGAAGTTTACATGAAGAAATTTCGGCCCGTGAGTTGTCCAAGTAGAGAAGGTTAGAGAAGGAATTAAAAATGGCAGACGACAAAATCAAAAATGCAATTTGGGTCCTTCTGCTCTCTTTACTGGCGTAAATCACAACCTTTCAGCTGAATGAACACAATAATCTGCTCGTGGATTACTCCAAACGAAATGGTCGGCCTTTAGGCCTTTATTGCCGTAATTAGCCACTAAACGACCCGCCGACATTTTGTCGCGTTTGTCCCTAGTACTAGGATCTTCCTAGCGAAAGCAGTTTACATGGTGCTAGGATCTTCCTAGTGCTGGGATCTTCCTACCTCTCAGCTAGCAACATCCTAGTACTAGGAAGATCCTAGCGCTATGGACAAGTACAACCCTTTGCATGTAAACTGAATACAGAAAACATATGGCGCTAACTAGGATCTTCTTCCCTCCATGTAAACAGCCCCTAAATCCCATCTTGTTCAGAGAAACTTAGTAGTTAGTCTTATCAGAATGGCAAAGATAATACAAAGACCAACCAAGCTCTTAGTGATCCAGCAATTTCTTCCAAATTGTGGTGGCGTATGCCAGTGAAATCCACGTATGGTAATAAGTGTTACTCGGCTATCCCGGCGATCTCCAAAGGTGATGTTTTGATATCTGATCCAAAAGAAAAAGAAAACGTTTTCAATGACTCTGCTCAGAACCCGGAGCGAGCAACTTCCATGACTTCCATGCGCTCGTGTTACGGCGTTTTCGCGGACCAGTTTATTTTTAGAACGGTTTGGCGCGAATTTTGAATATCTTTTAAATCCCTCAAACCAGAAATGAAACCAGTCAGCAAAACCTACGGACCTAAATTAAAAACGATAGTTTTGCCTCTTAATAACGTTTAGTTTTCCTTTTTGATATCTTATACTTCGAATGAGCTCATAGACATAGTGAAGATTTTATTTTCGCAAGGAAAAGTGCCCTAAAATTTGTCTAAAAATAAACTGGTCCGTAAAAACGCCGTGACATAGGCCTAGTATGGCAGTTGCTCGCTGTTGAAATTCCATTTCTCCCTCGGTGGTCATCAGACTCTGTCTGTTAACACTAAGGATGAAGAAATGGTTCGTAACCTTTTATCATCTGTTAACTAATAATATAATGACTTTGCAGTGACGGTCTATATAAACCGTTCACATGCTTTCGCTGTAAGCAATAATCATTTTCTGAACCACACTCACCGGAACTTAAAAATCACTCCACGTAAAAGCAATGTTATGTTACATTGGGGAAAAAAAATCGATGTTCTTGATGAAACAAATTTGCAAACACTACTGGTTTAAAGGAACGTTTGCGCGTTGGGGGACAGGAAGTCCTTCTACAATGATATGTGACAATTTGACACTATGTTCACTCTGATTTATTAACTTCACACTCTTTTAATAACTTTACAAGCACAAGACTAGCTGAATCCCTCTAACAAAAGCTCGTTGCAGCTCCTTTTATCCAGACTGGACTTAAAGGCTGTCAATCTTATTCATTAGAGACCTTTAGATTCCAGGACGAGCACAACTACGAATACAAGATTTGACTTAAAGTTTTTTCACATATTCTCAAAATATAGATTCCCCGAAAGGCTTCATTTTACCATTTTCACTTGAAAAATTAGCACTGTTATCTTTAGTAAGGGAGGTTACACACTCTCCCGATCGCAAAATGATAAAAATTCTAACATTTGATATCTTGTTTCCGCCACTTCTACATTCTCGCTAAACTCGTAGTAGATTGACGAATGCTATCACGTTTTCCAGCCAAAATGACGCTGGTTCACGCACGAGCACTACTCAGTAGTGGTAAAATATCGTTCTCGTAGTCGTACTTGTCTTAGAATCTTAAGGTCTCTAATTTAAATTAACATTAGCAGAAATTCGATTTGCTACAAGAATTATTAATTTACTTTCCTACGAGGTTATAGCGTAACAAAAAAAATCTACTTTTACTCTAAAATTCACATAGGTCCAGTAAATGTCCCGTCCTAACAAAATAGTCAGAGAGATATAAAAAATACAAAGAAGGTTCATACTAATACAAATCAACTACGTACAATACCAGTACTTCTAAAAGTACAATTCGTCATTTTTCGTACAGTACCAAACTTGTCGTTTGAAACCTTCTTGTTGGAATATCATAACAATATTAATTAGTCCCGCCTTTTTACATACATTAACTCAAAAATTGTTTACGAGTTTACTAGGAAAAACCCGTGTTAGCTAAGAACAATATTGCATCATGGACTAATAAATTGAACAACAGATATTTACTTTCCACGTAATCTCAAACAATCATGAATAAATTACGTTTAATGATGGGGGTATATGATCCAGTTGTGAACTCAGATAATCAGGGTTTTAGCCTGCAAACAGGGGCCAGTTCAACGAAAGTCTCAAAAGTGCAATAGATTGATAAAAACAGTACTTCCTTGGTGGAACTTCATTAATCTAGACAACAACTTTGACTGGTAATACAAACCAAAGGGTTTTTTTCGTTTGAACACTTAAATCAACTGAGTAAATAATTCTGTAATTTTTATTTTAGCAAAAGATAGAACTTACCAAATCATACTACGGCACTTGCTTGTTTAAAAACTTGTTTAAATGTGCCAGCTTGAGGCATGAAAAGTTACCGGGACTTTCAACAATAAAGACCGTTTTTTTTTGCTGCGGAAGTGCAGTGAGTCTCTTTAGCTAGTTTACAGGCACTCCACTGGAATAATTGGTGAATAAACAATAAAAATAAAACGTAAGGGGATTAAAAAAAACTGTCTGGAAGTAGGCAACCAGTTGGTTATTGAGCAGCTCATGTCCTGCTTGCAATCCCAACCCTAATCTCAAGTTCGGATTGATCCGTGCTCCCCATCGCACCCTCCACAGACAATCCTAAGCCTAAATTTTTAGTATGCCAGGCGTTATCACCCCTCACTCTGTCGGCACCATACATGTCTCTGAACGTCTGTTTACTGGCCTCCCGACGACCGCCGTAAAGTTTTACATTCCACCAATTTCTGAATAAGTTGAAATCAAAAGGAACGGAATACATGATAGCTAATGTCTTGTCTAAGGCTCGTATGTAGTACGTGAAGACTCCAACGGCTCCTCTAGGTATAGGTCCCGCAGTTTTTCGAGCTCCCCATAGTATGGCCTCACCTAATGAGAACAAGCATATAGGTATGTGTGTTTTGTCCAAATTCTAATAATTTCCCGAGCCCTTAGGCGTGGGAAATTATTAGGATTTGGACAAAACGCGCGTGAAATTATTCCCTAATTTAACGAGTATACCATTTGATTACCTATTAATATCATGGGTGACGAATTACGTTAGCAATCTTGGATTTTTGACATGTTTATCCTGGATCGTATCGATCGAGAACTCCACTCTCTCAAATGTTTAGACCTTAAATTTTCAGACTTTTTCGGCAAAATACCTGTTAGAATCCTTCTTGATGTTCTCTTGTGTGTTCTTGTTTTCTAAAGCGTCTTCTTGTGCCCTGACATCTTCATTCACGGCATTTTAAAACTTCGTCACCATCTTGACACTGAGACGTACGGAAGGGTTGCCATAGCAATTTGGTAATTTCACATGTGAAATTACAAATTAACGCTGAAATTTTGCGCCAAAATTAAGGAGTAGTTCGTCACCTATGATATTAGTAACGGTTATTTCTTGGCATTAATGAAAAGTGTGTCTTTTGTTTACCAGTTCTACTGACATAAGATGGGTGAGAATGCAAAGTAACTTTAACAACGAATTAAGATCCGAGTAGCCTGGCATTCGAAGCATTTGATAGGACAGACAGGGAGCATTATACAAGATCCCCCCGGGCGGAGGGGGACGGGGAACTTGGGTTAATTTTTGCTTGGTATGTGCCGCTGGCCTCTCAGAGCCCGTTCCCCCCTTAAGGTCTGTTCTGTGGCCGAATCTAGACCCCATCTTAGTTACTTTTGGGCAAATATGTCATTTTCGCGATTCCATCTAAGTCACTTTTTATTCATGTATCTACCTTATCAATCCTTTAAATAGGTCCAGTCCTAAAATGAATTGACCCATTTTTTTAAAATTGAATAAAGAACACATTGATTGTCTTTACACTAGGCTGTTAAGTAAGACTTAGGAGCCGCTAAGAAGAAAGAAAAAGAATCGGTTGTGTGTGAAGCTTTATTTTACTTAAAGTAATTAAAATTTACTTGTCTTGAAATATTTCTTAGCTTATTTAGGCTCTAGTGTAAAGACTATCATTGCTTCCCACCTACAGTACAAACATTCGGGTACGTTTGCTAACCGTAAATATGAAGAACTTTCTTACCCCAAAAATCCGAAAAGTGCGACCCCATTGTAGTAACTTTATTGAAAATGCAACCCCATTATAGTCAATCCAGTCATGAAAATGGGACACCATCCAGCGGCACATCCCCATTAGCCTCTTATAAGGAAGTACCCCTCCCCCCCGGGACAAGGGACAAGATCATTTGCTGCGACTGCCAGGCTACTTCATTGGTGAAACCGGCAGAAACCTTAGCATGCGACTGACCAAACACAAACGAGTGACGACAAATGATGACGTCAATAATCACATTGCCGCGCACCATTTACAGACGAAACATCAAATCGATTGAGACTCTGCGACATGTATTACGTATTCTACAGAGCACCATCAACGACTCTCTTTAGGAGGGGGGTGAATAGGTCCGCGGATCGGCGGATTTGGCCTTAAAAAGCTCACGGATTGTGGATTTCGGCGATAAATTGAGCGGATTCGCGGATTTGAAAAATACCGTGGATCGCGGATCAGCTGAAAGTTTTGGCCCGGTTTCCAGATTCTGTCAGTCTAGAAGTTCGGATCGTGGATTGGATCATCAATTTTCTGTCGGCCTTGGTCAATGTGCTGGTGTTTTGTCGGCTAACGTTTCACTTCCGAGGTTTCCGGAAGATTTTCTCGTTACCCGACTCATACGGTATACATGAATTCCAGTATAGACAGCGTGGCGTAAATGACGTCAGGCAACCTTGCCATGGTTCCTGCATGGTGACACATGGTTCATGTAATGGCAGTAATGCTAAGTGACCTGACAGGATCTGTGAATGCGTTCGTGTAGCCTGCGTAGCAAGCGTTTCCTCGCGAGGTTCGTCTAGGAGAAGAGCAAAAAAAAAAAAATGAATGACGGGGGAGGGGGAGGGGAAAGAAGGAACCGCTTGCCCGCAAACCCCACGATTTTGAAAAACTGCGTTCGCCCACGAACGCAGCTTCTGATTGGCGCGGTGCGTGTAGTGTTGATTACTTAGCATTCGAAACATCAATCAAACCAGGTATGCTTTGTTTTCGTGCTTTATATTTGGTTTATACATGAACTGATATAAATTATGTTCTTCGAAGCTATTTCAGCTAGTTTGCTTGTCTTGATCGTTAACTTAATAGATCTTTTCACGGTTTCTCTCGCCATCTTGGTTGAGGGCAAACACGGCAAAAGATGAACCATGGAAAGTACTTACTGGTAAGTAAAATTACCATGAAGTTGAGTTCTGCCTCTTCCGAATTTTGCGGCTCGACTAGAAGCATGTCCAAAGTGATGTCAGTAAGTAAATTTATTGAAAAATCTTTTACGCAATACCAGATACTTTCATTTTGCAAGCTTGCAGACCATTTGGTTAGTCAAATCTGTATTGTTGGAAGAAACATTATAAGCTCTGTCCCTAATGCTTAATGTTTTGAAGCTGTAACGAAAACTTTTTAAACATGAAGTCCCGCATCTGTTGCGATTACAGAACAGCTATATCAAGTAATTCATTTTTTCATGCTACAACGCTACTTTCTATATACCACGAAAACTTTTTAAAGTAACACGGATTCGGATTTGAACAAAAATTAAGTCGGATCGACGGATCGGGCCTTAAAATACCACGGATCGGCGGATTTGCATACCCCTATTCACCCCCCTCTTTTAGAAAGCTGGTTTACTAACTTAGAACAAATGCTACTGACTTGTAATCAACAGTTACCGGCACCGTACAAAGGACTTATTGACGTGAATCAAGCAAAACTAACTACGAGAAAACGACTGGACAACTGACAATTTTACTAACAATAAACGACTGTTTAACTGTGACAATAGACGGATCGAAACGCACCAATGACATTAGCAGTCTTCAAAGCCAGTACCATCACGGCTTATACGACCAATAACATCTCATTTGAAAGGACAAAGGAAAAATAGCGATTGGCAGATTTCGTTTCAATATGGCGGCTCGGGAAGGAAGCTCATTGTTACGCGATGTAAATAATGGCTTAAATGAAGGGAAATTAGCTTTTCCACAGCAGAGTCAAAGTTAAGTCTATATCAAAACACAGCGGCGAGAAAAAAAAGAGAAAAACTGTTGTTCAAACACATAACATGAATCGTGTTTAGCCTGTCAACACTTAATTTCAAAAAGTTAGTAAATCAGACTTTTTTCCAAAACCAGCTGGAAGCAATCCAAGGACATCTTTCTTCTTAAGCAATAAATCAGCCTGCAAAGCACGCATATTTTGCAGCGCGATCCATTGCGGAAATAACGTTATCCCGCCATCTCGGACGTTAATACTACCAGAGAGTTGGAACAAGTTCAAAACTGATTTAAAGGAAGAGGTGTGATGGGTTTCAAATAGTAACCCTAACCCCAACCTCCTCTCTTCTCCTCGCCCCTCCCCCTTTTCCCGCTCCTCCTCCCTTAGTCTTTTCCTTGGCTTTTCAAGATGGCTGCCGCGATCAATGTACCTCAGAGTTTCTGTCAAAAAAACGCCTGCTTTGTAGGCTACCAATAAATTTAAACATTTCTTTTGTTTTTAGGGAATTTTGCTTGAGTTCTACGCAGTACAAGGAAATACTTATCTTTCTATGGCAAGAACAAGCAAGACGCACAAATGCGTGAACCCGGCCTTCTTTTAGTTCATACAATGATAGAGCGCCAGGGGAAAATGTGCACTATGTAATAATGCACTACAGCCCATATGAACTATATGGGTTACCTTAAAGTCTATTTTAGGAAACAGTTATAAAAGAGAACTGATGTCAGTTCTTAAGAGTGTCCTACCTTTGTTACATTTCATTTCAACATTTGTATAAAAATATAGTTCTTGAAGAAGCTAAAAAAATAAACACATTGAGGGAGCTAGCTTTAATGCTTGATATTAATCCTGTAGAAGTAAACCTGATGTTTGCATCTGTAATGATTGGAATAACTTTAATGTGGGTATTCTGAATAAAGATACTTTGTAGTGTGAACTGGTGCTGCGAGATACCTCAAAAGTAACCTTTGTTAGGAAAGAGAAAAAATAGAGAAAAGAATTACCAACCTTCAAACCACAGTTCACTGTAAGAACTGTCGAAATAGTCAACATTGCTTTCCCGGGAATCTTCCAGCGCGCACGCCATGCAGGCGAAACGGCATAACAAATACTTTTTGTTACATAGAGAAAACTGTTTTTTTTTTTATAAAAAAATTAAAATAAACGTCACAAAGGATTTTGACCACGAAAATACCAGAAAAGTGCTATTACCTTTATGAAAAGTACCTGCACGGCTCCATGGCAATTTGCACGGCTCTATGAAACGAAATTTGCCAGTCGCTATTATTCCTTTGTCCCTTCCCATTAGTTCCCGCGCGCCTCAACCTAACCCCAATTCTCTCTTACCCGCACAACACATTGGATGCGTGTCTGGGATCTATCCAAATGCCGTACACCTACGCTAAACAGCAAGCATAATATACTGATAAATAGTTAGGTAGGAGTTATGCTTTTAAAATTAGACTAATCTAGTTTCTACCTTTTGGAACATTAAGTGGAAGGATGTTATCTGAGGTGCCAGACGAAAAATACACGGAAATTGCTTCCCACGGATGATCACTTTCATTCCAAACGCCGATAGCAATTTTGCGGTTTGTTTCTATACGATCCAAAAGTGTTCTCAGTCCTTCCACGCCAGAGTTCATGCTAGAAAAAGCAGCTAGAATGAAAAAAAAAAATAGATATCAAACAACATTGTTACTAATATTCATAAACTAAGTAATCGTGAGTGCAATGAGTTAATTTGAATTTTCTCCCTCTGTAGTCCGATCAATTATCGCCAGCTTCGTTCCGGGTGACCTGATCCACCATTCCTTTCTTGCCTGAGACGAAATATTTACTTTTTACCGTCTTTAGCAGTGGCTCCAGAACCGTCATCCCTAGCCTAAATGCACACGTCAGACCCAGGGCGTTAGACCAGAAAATGTTTTACTAAATTAAAGACCAAGTGCTTCAGAAACTGAAATTATCACCACTAAAGGTTCACATGTAAGGATCTACATTGTACGCATGCATGCAGTTAAAGTTAAGTTTGACTCCTGAGCTTAAGTTTTTCCTTTAGAATACCTAAGGCCTTCGGCAACCTGTAAACTTGAACAATCGTCTCCGTAATGATCCGGGCTTGCAAAAATCCATTAGGAAGAAGAACAAAATTGTATAAAAAATTTATAAATTTCCCACTCCAACGAATAAGGAAAATTCCAAAAATATAGAAACAAACTCCACCACTTTCTACGTCTAGCAAAATCTCTCTATTATGAAAAAGACTTGAATTGTCTAAAAATAATGCGAAAGGTACCTGGAAGATTTTAAATCGGATAATAAATAGAAACAGTCGTTCTAATAAGTTACCGTCAACCTTCACCATCAATAATCAGGAGATTTCATATTCCAGTTGAATAGCTGATCATTTTTGCAACTTTTTTTTTACCAATCTGGGGCCTACAGTCGCTAAAAATATATCCAGTTCAATTAGGACACATAAGTCTTTTCTACCGGATCGCTTGATTAATCCTTTTTTCTTTGAATCTGCTACGCAGACTAAAATTGTTGAAATTGCTAAGTCACTTCGTCTTAACACTGCGGCTGGCCATACGTTAACCATATGTCCACATACGGTTTAAATCTATCAGTTAACTCAGGTATTGTCCCTGCTCAAATGAAATCGGCTATAGTGCCGTTCCTCTACATAAGTCTGGTGACAAAAGTTTACTTTCTAATTATAGACCTGTATAAGTCTTAACAATCTTTTCGAAGTTTCTAGAAAACGTTTTGTACAATCGCTTAATTCGATATCTAAATAAGGTTTCAGAAAGAAACAATCAACCTCGTTAGCCGAGTTATTATACCTACATGACAAGATTACTTCGGCCATTGATAAGAGGAAACATGCACTAGGAATATGCCTTGATTTATCAAAAGGTTTTGATACCGTTAATCATTGTATTCTACTCGATAAGCTTGAGCATTATGAGATTCATGGTCTGGCCCTAGAGTGGATCAAATGATACCTTTGTAATAGGCAACAATACGTTGAATTTAATGGTATGTCGTCTCTAGTTCGTGAAATCTTGTGTGGAGTTCCTCAGGGGTCTGTCCCTGGTCCCTTATTCTCTTTTATTTATATCAATGAATTGTGTCAGATTTCAAATATCTATGACCTGTTTTTATTAACTGTGCTTGCCGTAGGCTGGCCCAGTTTATAAAATACCTTCGATTATTTTCTTTCCGGGTGGTATCCCTAGCAATTCGTGGTGGGGATGTGTCGACTCATTCTCTTAATGCTTACCTACCCACCGGAATTTTTGGTTCAGTAAACGGCCTCTATCAATGATTAACCGAGTAACCCAGGGGCGTATTCCTGGGAATTGTTGGTGGGGTGTGTTGTTCGGTTTCCCAAATCCTTACTCCAGATTTTATATTAGATCAATACCTACAATCGACGACAAAATGAGTTAAGACACTTCGCCCTAAACTGGGCTTTTTTACGTTTTACTGACTTCAAAAGGAGGAAATATAGCTTTCCCTCCCCCCCCCCTTCCATACACTGTTGTGCCGATGTTCGAGCTACCTTTAGGAAACAACAAACACCCCAACTTTGAACGGAGGGGAGAGGAGAGGGGTGCGGATTCTTTTGTTCTCCAAAGTTACCCTATTTGAGTACAATGTCTCAACAATTTTGTCGCCGATTGTATAAGGCAAATGTAAGGGAGTACCCCCCCGGAGAATTTCGTTGTCATGACGATAAACACGATCAATGACTAACTTGGCGTAGAATGTTAAGCCAAGGCAGCCATTAAATGAAGATGTGTTTGAAATTGGCGTACTGTACTTTTTCATCGTCTCCTTCAAAAGATGCTACGATGAGTACCATTTGTGGTTTTTCTTCACTTTTTGTTGAAGTTTAAACATTTTGAGGAGTTTTTCCCTTCCAAAACGTGATTGCAAATCTCTCTATGTGTGTAGCTAGAGTGTTTGTATGTACATCCATTGAATAAAGACGTCTCTCAAGCTATCATTGGCACTTTTTCACAAGCTATCAGTGCCTTTTTCAAAAGATGGTAGGATGGGTCGCTTTTAAGGTTTCTCTTCGCTTTACGTTGAAGCTTAAACCGTTTAAAATGTGACGTCCAATGTCTCTTTTTATCTTTTTGCGATTCTTACTCAGCGCGTGAAAAGTCATTCCTTACAGGAAAGGAATGTCCCGGGGAATGTGCTCATTGTACATCACCACGTCCACAAAAAAAAATTGTATATATATATATTGACTAGGATAGGTAGGAAGGCTCTATAACGCAATATCAGACAAAAACAAAACTTAAATATAATTTGCTTTCCAATTTTTAAGAACCAGAATTGAGAAATGAACTGCTTGTTATTAACAGCATTTTATGACCCGTAGAACGACAATAATTTTTGGAATTTCCGGTTAGGTCAAATTAGTCACGCTATACTGTCACACTTTATTTTGGGGGGCAGAGGGATTGGGGAAGGGGTGCTTGAAAATAACGCTTACTGTTTCCTGCTTAGAATGGCTCACTTGCTTACTTCTATTTATAATAGTGGAATTTGAAAGTTACTATACAGTCCCGACTTAAAAATGGTACTCATTTTTCTTGTTACGAAAGTGTTCCAAAAGGATACAATGTTCAAATGAATTTATGTTTCACTCAAACATGAGGTGCTATGTTACCCAATGGCCAGCGACAAGATTCTGTGGTGCAGCAACCCCTTCCTCAGAAAAAATCGCCTTCGACAGCCCAGTTAAAATCGCTTTTCAGCGATTCTTGTTTGCTGATGATACCAACTTATTCTTTTCTCATATTGACTTTCCTGATTAATGAACTTGTTAACTCTGAAATGCCTAAGTTATCTCATTTGTTTTAAAGCCAACAAGCTATCTCTAAATATACAAAAGTCAAATTACATAACTTTTAAACCCGGGCAGAGAAGAGATGAATTCGCCTTTAATATAGAGATGAATGGTCTTAAGATAAATCAAGTTTCTTGGTGTTATTTAAGATGAGTCATTGTCATGAAAACTCCATATTTCGCAGGTTGCGAGTTCTTGTCTTACTAAGCCAGCTTTGTGTATTTTATACTATTCACTTGTCTATTCTTATCTTCAATTTTGTATTTCAGTTTGGAGTTTGACTTGCCCTACTCATCTTAGGCGCATAGTCCTGTTGCAAAAACGCATTTTTACTTCGGCGGAGCGCGAAGTAAAGCAGTCGCGACACTCAGGAATGTCCCAAAGTTGCTTTTTCTGGACGAGATTGGGCATGCAAAGTTTGTAGGTATTCGGCTTTATTCGGCTATTTTACGAAATCAGCGCCGAATTAGTTCGAGATATCTCGAGATCAGTTCGATTTCGTTGTTATTGGAGGAAGAAAGAATTATTGTTTTGGCTTGCGCGGGGTTTGAACCGACTCACTTGTGTGACCCGTAAGATCAGATCAGACCCTACGTCACGGGATTAGCCGATTGCGCCACTGCGACCCAAGGTAACTTGAGATGTGAGAATAGCTACAAGTTATGCACGAGGTACGGGATAAGTTGGTGACTTTTCGGCTTGTCCTGATTTATTATTCTGGCTAGAAATATTGACTGCAAAAGTATTTTACAAAAAACGTTGAATCAAATTGGGCTAGTAGATTCAAAATTTGAGCGAAAATCGAGATACAAGAGCAATTTTCAGTGCGTCTCACTGAGCAGACGAGTTTGCTTTAATATGTCGCGCCACATGATTCTCCAAAGTGCGTTTCAGTTCGGCTTTTTATTGTCGAAACCTTGTCTTTTCCGCCTGGAATCTAGCTTGGAATTCGTGATAAACCGTGGAAAACCCAAATTTATTAGTTTGCCGGTCAAATTCCCCGACGATAGATCAGAGTTTCAGTTCTGTAGTACGGCCCGAAGTAAGCTTATAATAATTTTCACGCGAACTAATCTCTTTCGCAGCCGTTTTTAGACTCGTCACGTGACGAGCCTGAAAACGGCTGCGATGGAGACTAACTGTCCTTCCGTGTTTGTTTTTTTTTTCTAAATCCAGCGGCCGAAATAATGCTAAGTATGCTTTTCAATACACGTTTAAAAATGACACCACACAATATGCAAAAAAGGAGAAGAGGAAAAGAAAGAGCAAAGTAGGGACCTTCAAAACGATATTCGCGGTGGGTGCCCATCCAGTTCCTAACCCCGCCCAACAGGGCTTAACTTGAGTGGTGCTACTAAAAAACCGACTTAACCGAGTTTCGCTAGGGTTATTGCGAGATACGTATTTCTAGTTTGTGTTGCGATGTTGTACATGAATTATCCTCGGTGTGGAGATTGTGCATTTTCAGCAAGTTTTGTTAGGGGATGTAGTGATGTTAGTTTATAGTTACGTTGCTGGAGAAGGTGTGGAGTGAACTGTGCATAAGGAAAGTGTTGTTGTTGAGAAAATAAAGGAAGTGGAACTGAGATCTCGCCGTGCGCAATTATTTATGACAGAAATTATAAGCGAATTGGGTCACTGCCATGCATCTAGCAGACTTCCGGTGAAGAAGTTAAGACGCCTGTTACACAAAAGGAGAAAAGTAAGGGAATTTGTATGGAAGGGTATATGAAAAAACATCATTTCTTACTATTCCTCCGCATTCACAATTAATCCACCACCACGACACCAAAGTGTACGCTCCCATAGCGTCTTGTTAGAATTAGCAGTAAGAAAGGTTTTGACCCACCAACTGATCCTCTATTTAAAAATCTTATGATTCTCAAATTAGGAGATATCTATTCTCTGCACCTCGGGAAATTTATGTATTCTTTGAATAATAATTTAGTTCTTTCCAGTTTTTCCAGATCCATTTTACGTACTAATCGAGTTCACGGTTATGTGACACGTTTTTCAAATCGATTTTGTATTCCTTTCTGTCGTACTGACATAAGAAAGTTTTCTGATTTCTATCAAGGACTGGTTTTCTTTAATAAGCTGAGCGCTTACGTTCGCGATGCCCCTTCCTTATATTCTTTCCAATCCAGAGTTAAAAACTTTTTTGTATCTTGTTACTGAAGGCAGGAAGCTACAAACCAACGAGAAACTAACAACGCTGGTTAACAACCCAAACAGATCATCAACGGGGCTAGCCACTCAACCAAGGTCAGCTCTAACCTCACAAAGACGACTACCAGTTTAAGACTCTCATCTGGCAAGTTCAAGGCAAGAATATTCCAAAAATGGAATTAGATAAATTCGGGACCTAAGCATAAATTCAAGTACGAGTAAAATCATGAGATTAAAACAGGAAAACATTACTCCAGATTTTATATTAGATCAATACCTACAATCGACGACAAAATGAGTTAAGACACTTCGCCCTAAACTGGGCTTTTTTACGTTTTACTGACTTCAAAAGGAGGAAATATAGCTTTCCCTCCCCCCCCCCTTCCATACACTGTTGTGCCGATGTTCGAGCTACCTTTAGGAAACAACAAACACCCCAACTTTGAACGGAGGGGAGAGGAGAGGGGTGCGGATTCTTTTGTTCTCCAAAGTTACCCTATTTGAGTACAATGTCTCAACAATTTTGTCGCCGATTGTATAAGGCAAATGTAAGGGAGTACCCCCCCGGAGAATTTCGTTGTCATGACGATAAACACGATCAATGACTAACTTGGCGTAGAATGTTAAGCCAAGGCAGCCATTAAATGAAGATGTGTTTGAAATTGGCGTACTGTACTTTTTCATCGTCTCCTTCAAAAGATGCTACGATGAGTACCATTTGTGGTTTTTCTTCACTTTTTGTTGAAGTTTAAACATTTTGAGGAGTTTTTCCCTTCCAAAACGTGATTGCAAATCTCTCTATGTGTGTAGCTAGAGTGTTTGTATGTACATCCATTGAATAAAGACGTCTCTCAAGCTATCATTGGCACTTTTTCACAAGCTATCAGTGCCTTTTTCAAAAGATGGTAGGATGGGTCGCTTTTAAGGTTTCTCTTCGCTTTACGTTGAAGCTTAAACCGTTTAAAATGTGACGTCCAATGTCTCTTTTTATGTTTTTGCGATTCTTACTCAGCGCGTGAAAAGTCATTCCTTACAGGAAAGGAATGTCCCGGGGAATGTGCTCATTGTACATCACCACGTCCACAAAAAAAAATTGTATATATATATATTGACTAGGATAGGTAGGAAGGCTCTATAACGCAATATCAGACAAAAACAAAACTTAAATATAATTTGCTTTCCAATTTTTAAGAACCAGAATTGAGAAATGAACTGCTTGTTATTAACAGCATTTTATGACCCGTAGAACGACAATAATTTTTGGAATTTCCGGTTAGGTCAAATTAGTCACGCTATACTGTCACACTTTATTTTGGGGGGCAGAGGGATTGGGGAAGGGGTGCTTGAAAATAACGCTTACTGTTTCCTGCTTAGAATGGCTCACTTGCTTACTTCTATTTATAATAGTGGAATTTGAAAGTTACTATACAGTCCCGACTTAAAAATGGTACTCATTTTTCTTGTTACGAAAGTGTTCCAAAAGGATACAATGTTCAAATGAATTTATGTTTCACTCAAACATGAGGTGCTATGTTACCCAATGGCCAGCGACAAGATTCTGTGGTGCAGCAACCCCTTCCTCAGAAAAAATCGCCTTCGACAGCCCAGTTAAAATCGCTTTTCAGCGATTCTTGTTTGCTGATGATACCAACTTATTCTTTTCTCATATTGACTTTCCTGATTAATGAACTTGTTAACTCTGAAATGCCTAAGTTATCTCATTTGTTTTAAAGCCAACAAGCTATCTCTAAATATACAAAAGTCAAATTACATAACTTTTAAACCCGGGCAGAGAAGAGATGAATTCGCCTTTAATATAGAGATGAATGGTCTTAAGATAAATCAAGTTTCTTGGTGTTATTTAAGATGAGTCATTGTCATGAAAACTCCATATTTCGCAGGTTGCGAGTTCTTGTCTTACTAAGCCAGCTTTGTGTATTTTATACTATTCACTTGTCTATTCTTATCTTCAATTTTGTATTTCAGTTTGGAGTTTGACTTGCCCTACTCATCTTAGGCGCATAGTCCTGTTGCAAAAACGCATTTTTACTTCGGCGGAGCGCGAAGTAAAGCAGTCGCGACACTCAGGAATGTCCCAAAGTTGCTTTTTCTGGACGAGATTGGGCATGCAAAGTTTGTAGGTATTCGGCTTTATTCGGCTATTTTACGAAATCAGCGCCGAATTAGTTCGAGATATCTCGAGATCAGTTCGATTTCGTTGTTATTGGAGGAAGAAAGAATTATTGTTTTGGCTTGCGCGGGGTTTGAACCGACTCACTTGTGTGACCCGTAAGATCAGATCAGACCCTACGTCACGGGATTAGCCGATTGCGCCACTGCGACCCAAGGTAACTTGAGATGTGAGAATAGCTACAAGTTATGCACGAGGTACGGGATAAGTTGGTGACTTTTCGGCTTGTCCTGATTTATTATTCTGGCTAGAAATATTGACTGCAAAAGTATTTTACAAAAAACGTTGAATCAAATTGGGCTAGTAGATTCAAAATTTGAGCGAAAATCGAGATACAAGAGCAATTTTCAGTGCGTCTCACTGAGCAGACGAGTTTGCTTTAATATGTCGCGCCACATGATTCTCCAAAGTGCGTTTCAGTTCGGCTTTTTATTGTCGAAACCTTGTCTTTTCCGCCTGGAATCTAGCTTGGAATTCGTGATAAACCGTGGAAAACCCAAATTTATTAGTTTGCCGGTCAAATTCCCCGACGATAGATCAGAGTTTCAGTTCTGTAGTACGGCCCGAAGTAAGCTTATAATAATTTTCACGCGAACTAATCTCTTTCGCAGCCGTTTTTAGACTCGTCACGTGACGAGCCTGAAAACGGCTGCGATGGAGACTAACTGTCCTTCCGTGTTTGTTTTTTTTTTCTAAATCCAGCGGCCGAAATAATGCTAAGTATGCTTTTCAATACACGTTTAAAAATGACACCACACAATATGCAAAAAAGGAGAAGAGGAAAAGAAAGAGCAAAGTAGGGACCTTCAAAACGATATTCGCGGTGGGTGCCCATCCAGTTCCTAACCCCGCCCAACAGGGCTTAACTTGAGTGGTGCTACTAAAAAACCGACTTAACCGAGTTTCGCTAGGGTTATTGCGAGATACGTATTTCTAGTTTGTGTTGCGATGTTGTACATGAATTATCCTCGGTGTGAAGATTGTGCATTTTCATTTTGTTAGGGCATGTAGTGATGTTAGTTTATAGTTACGTTGCTGGAGAAGGTGTAGAGTTAACTGTACATAAGGAAAGTGTTGTTGTTGAGAAATTAAAAGAAGTGGAACTGAGATCTCGCCGTGCGCAATTATATATGACAGAAATTATAATCGAACTGGGTCACAGCCATGCACCTAGCAGACTTCCGGTGAAGAAGTTAAGACGTCTGTTACACAAAAGGAGAAAAGTAAGGGAATTTGTATAGAAGGGTATATGGAAAAATATCATTTCTTACTATTTCCCCGCATTCACAATTAATCCACAACCACGACGCCTAAGTGTACACTCCCATAGCGTCTTGTTAGAATTAGTAGTAAGAAAGGTTTTGACCCACCCACTGATCCTCTATTTAAAAATCTTATGATCCTCAAATTAGGAGATACCTATTCTCTTCACCTCGGGAAATTTATGTATTCTTTGAATAATTATTTCGTTCTTTCCACTTTTTCGAGATCCATTTTACGTTCTAATCGAGTTCACGGTTGTAGCACACGTATTTCAAATCGATTTTGTATTCCTTTCTGTCGTACTGACATAAGAAAGTTTTCTGATTTCTACCAAGGACCGGTTTTCTTTAATAAGCTGAGCGCTTACGTTCGCGATGCCCCCTCCTTATATTCTTTCCAATCCAGAGTTAAAAACTTTTTTGTATCTTGTTACTGAAGGCAGGAAGCTACAAACCAACGAGAAACTAACAACTCTAGTTAACAACCCAAACAGATCATCAACGGGGCTAGTCACTCAACCAAGGTCAGCTCTAACCTCACAAAGACGACCACCAGTGTAAAACTCTCATCTAGCAAGTTCAAGGCAAGAATATTCCAAAAATGGAATTGGATAAATTCGGGACCTAAGCATAAATTCAAGTACGAGTAAAATCATGAGATTAAAACAGGAAAACACCCATCCCGCCTAATCTTGACCGACTTAACGAAACAACTGACGAACTTAAATTGTAAGAAAGATCTTAGAAATAACCTTCAAAATTCTTCACAACAGTTAGAGTGTACATCACTCCCTCTCAATCCCTCTCATCAAACCGTTCCTTCACGCTATTGACGAAGAATTCTACGGGTGAGGACAAAACAGAAGGCTAGGGCCCTTGGCCCCTTCTCTGGACCAGGTCCACGGATCACCTATATGGACCCCCTGCATTTTTGTTACCGATCGGAAACAATAATTAGTAAACAATAAACATTGTTGCCGGCTTTGGCCGACAGAAACGGTGTGAAATAACAGTCTGACAGAAGACGCTGATGCTGTTACGATGTTGACGTACTCATTCTTAGCACACGTGTCGATCAAGCCCCCTTTTCGATTGTCGTTACCCCGAGAAATAACTTCCTCAGCATGAAGATAACTTCTAAATTGTGACAGCGGATAAACGTAAAATAGAAACAAAATAAGCATAAAAACAAACAAAAACAGACAAAGAAAAAATTGAGACTATAACTGGCTTAGGGAGAGAGAGAAACAATGGTCATGGCTAGAATGGATACTCCAAAATAATGAGGTATCCTCTCGGAGACTGACATTATTAGTTTTCTAATACACAGAGGTATGCAATTCCATATTTCGACCCCCAATCTTGAAAATGTTTTTCCTTGTTTATCCAGTCTTGAAAATTTAATTTCGTAATAATTAACCCCTCGACTGGGATCCAGTGTTATACGCGAGGACTTGATCAGTAATTTTGAATAAGCATAAAATATTTTGTGGTGCTAAATTTTTTGTGATATCGTGCATGAGAATAGCAACTGATTTGTAATAGAGCAAATTTAGAGGTAGTGTTTGATAAAGTATTTGACTTTGACTTTTTACGGGAGGTGGTCGCTTACGAAAAGTGGTCGCTATGAGAGAGTTGACTGTTGTCACCTTTGATCAATATCAGGGTAAACATGATTTGAATAAAAAATCAAACTGAACCGAATGACATGCTCCGGTTCTCTTCAAAATGCGAAGTCATGCAGGATATAAATTATAACAAAAGACCAATACATATCATATAATACATGCCGATTGTTTTGTTTGTATTTTTGGCCCGTCCACACGAATCCGGAGATTTTTGAAAAGGCATATTTTTTTTTTTACACGAATCTGCCTTCCGTCCACACAAAACCAGTAAGTCCTCTTACACAAACCGCATCTTTTTGAAACCGCTCTTTAGACTTAAGTTTTTGTTTTGATCCGACGGATATGCGAAGCCGTGAAGACGATTGAACTCGGATATTTTCGATTCTGAGATTCAGTAAAGCGGCGTTCGACCCTTTAATCGGGAATGTTGGGCAAATTTTGGGTGTGACGTTTCCTCTCTTAGTAATAATCTAGTAAGGCAAATATGTTTAGCAGGACACAAAACGACGGGCGCTAGGTGAGTCGAAGCACAGCTGTTTGACAAGATCGCGCGGCATTCATGAAGCCCGCGTAAATAACCAACTATGGGTACTTCAAATTATTTTGCGTAGAAATTTGTCTGGTAGCATTCAGAAATCGACAGAAACGTGTATGTTAAGTGAAAGGCATTTCATGCCACTCCTGTTCGAGGTTTTGTTCCACGTTTGCTATACACGCCCAGAAACCATAGTAAGCCGAAAATTTTTAGAACCTTTTAGTGGGCGTACATTTTCCCGGATGGTTGAACCTCTCATTCGGACGTTTAGCGTTGTAATTCAGGAGTCGGCATAAGAGAGCAAAGGTTGACTTTATCGAACCTTTCTTTTATTGAAAGCTTTATTGTTCTCAAACGTAGCTGACTAACACAGTTATTTTTTATGTTCTCTTTCCCGCTCATTCACTGTAGAGAGTCACTGTCGAGTGCACCATGAGTTAATGATGTATGCATCAGTGCTCTGTCAAATTTTTTAAGCTAGACTTACTAGAGGAGAGTGGTTATGAAAATCGGCAAACATCAATGATAAAAACAACGGTGCTGCAGTTTATATTGGAAGCACCCTGAAAGTGCACAATCCTTTCTTTTCTGTTGGCGAATTGTTACGGAATAAATTAATGCAACGTTTTTATTGGTCAATCAGACAATCAAAATGAAAGGAATGCTTTTGAACGTTGTGCACTTTCAAGCCCACAAAAACATATAACAAAGGTGTCTGACGGGTATCATAACCATTCCACTTAATTAACTATGATTTGCCTTAAGGAGATAATTCCAGCGATATTTATTTGGCGAAATTAACTAAATGATCATGCTCGAACGTGACGAGGGAAATGGAATACAAAATGATTCACAGTCTCACTTTTCTCAGGATTTTAGCTCAAAACTTTCCCAAATGTGGAAAGAAAGGCCCGGAGGCTTTTACGATATTCGGCTAATTTAGTTCTTACTTGTCATTGCTTATGTGCACTCTTCCATGAGCCATTCGAAGAATCTGAATTAATTAGCTATTCATTTCATAATCTCTGAGATGGCCTGAATTTCAAGTTTGCGACTCGAAGGAAAGGCTGAAATTCAGGATACCCCTACTACTTTTGAAAAGTGACAACAGTATGACCTTACATCCTATTTAAACTTTTAGATTTAAAGCAAGTGCTTTTCACATAGAGCATGAAAGTATCATAACTTTCCCCGTTTCCGGTCTTTGAAGCCCAAAATTTCATATAATAAAAACAAATCCAAACTACTCGTCACATTCTCAAGGATTTCTTTTATGGTGGAGCATATGGGTAGAGCTACTTTAAATCAAGAAAATTTAACACGTTATTTTATAGGATGCATGAGATTTTAAGAGAAACCTTAACTCATATTTCGCGACGTATACTAACAAAAGTGAAGATGAATGCAAAACAAATAATGTTTTCATTGTTCTGAGTCACATCCTAACTCTGAGTGCGTGTTCTTTTCTTGATTTCAGAGACCTGAATTTTGCGTCTCTTGCTTTCATGTATAGATCACTGAGACCCTTGTACTACGAGTTGAGAAGTAACCCAGCAAGCTGCTAGAATTGTACATGTAATGAAAAAATCATGTCATTGTGTACAATCAATTTCCCTTGTGTTTATGACAGCAGTTCCGCATAACATCGAGATGCCACTATTCCTTAGCTCTACTGAAAGTAAACCTTATGCGAGTTTTAGAACTCCAGCCAAATAACTTATTGATCTTGCCAGAATTGAGGCGACCATTGTGAGCACGCGCACCAAACGGACCGTCGTTCCACCGTCAATAAATTGACGTGATTGGCAGGAATATGTGTTTTATAACTCACTGAAAAGACAAGAAATTCGCTAAGCAAACTGTCTGGACTTACCCATCTCAAATGTAATCGGTATAGCCCTCAAGACTTAAAACTTCAAGGAACCTGTTTTGCAACTGATTCTTTGCGACTGCGTTTTTTTCGCGTTCGTTCACAGAAGGAAAGAATAATATCCCATAATGCAATAGTAGCGGAGCTCCACAGCTAAGGAAATCTACCCATCTCAGAAAATTTGGTAATCACGTGGCCGACCGACCGACCAAGCGACCGACCGACCGTCCGTCCGCACCACAGGCATACCAATGTTTACTCTCACACTTTCTAGCTACTTTGGGAGCCCAGGAGAAAGCTGATTGCACATCAATATTGTCATCAATTGACAGCTGTCAAAACAGGGTATCCGCTGACCACTATCACCTGACCGAATCGCGGGCTCAGGTGTCGACCCATCGAGGTTGAGTATTTTTTTGAAGTTATCCGCTGACAATTTGCTCGTTTTCAAATGATCGCAGGCTCTCGTTTACTTTTGTTTTAAATTCATATCAAATATGTTGTGTTTATGTCAGTATATTTCGACTGGGCAATACCAGTCTTCATCAGGTTTATTGAGATATCACGAATTTACAGAAATATATATGAAATAAAATAATGACCGGAAATTACATAATATGACGTGGTATGGTGTGGCTACTTAAAAAGACAAGATAACAAAAAATAAAAGATATACTATATATAGTTACAGTTCATCACGTTTATTGATGCCCATTTTTAAGTTTTTCAATAGGAATCAAACGCATATGATTGTCGGATTGATTGCAGGTAAGAAAGTGTTCTGAAACTGCAGTGTGGATGTAATTACCAGTAGGGTTGAGTATAGGTCGTCTGTATTCATTAAAACGGTGTTTGAGGCGACGTTTAGTTTCTCCAGTATATTGTGACAGGCGACATTGAATCAAATAGATAACATTAAAAGTTTCACAAGTTATATGAGATTTGATATGGTGAGTCTCACCTGTAGAATGAAAAGTGTATTGATTACGGCCATGTTCAATATAGGGGCAGGTGGTACAATTCCTGTTGTTGCACCGGAAGGAACCGGAGGTGGGTCGGGAGTTACTGGTATCGGTGCTGTTAGTAAGCTGGGCTCTAACGAGGATGTCGCTAATATTTTTACAACGGCGATAAGCTACTAACGGAACGTTTTTAAAAGTATTTCTACAGCGATCTGATGAGTACAACACGTTAGAATGCTTGTGAAGGATATACGCAAGGTTGGGTAATGCTGGATTATAAGTAATGACGAAAGGGGTGGTTTCAGTCTGAGTCTTGGGTTTGTTTGTAAGTGCGTCAGTGCGAAGAATGTCGGAAGCTCGTTGTATTTGGGTCTTAAGAAACGTTTTGTCGTAGCCGCGATTAGCAAGGTAATCTATAAGTTCGTTAGTACGTTGTTTGTAATTGTCTGGGTTAGAGCAAATGCGACGGAGGCGAAGTGCAAGGCCAAAAGGAATAGAGCGTTTGGTATGTTGAGGGTGGCAGTATGAAACTAGTAAATACTGGTGTTTGTCAGTAGGTTTAGTATAAAGCTCCGTTTCTATGGAGCCATCCTTGACTGAAACCATGACATCAAGGAATTAATTAATCGTTGGAATAAACATGTGCGTGCCTGTTAATCGTTTATTTCAAGTGATTACTGTGCTTTCAAGCATTTTCCGTAGTATATAGAACTTTTTGTTGATTTTCAAGCATTAAAAAGACCTTTTACTTAAAGGAAAACTTTTTGACACTGGTGTAATTGTCATGAAATGCGCTGTTTTTTTGTCTTGAAAAGAACTGCCATCGCGTGACAACATGTTTTTGCTGTAGTTATGATCAAAGAGGCTTTCCCTACACATCCTATTTCTACCTTACCCTATGTTCTACCATTTTGGAAGTTCTTCATTAATATTTGTTCTTTTGGCCTTGGTTGTCATAGAAAAATTAACGGTTTTATCGGCATGGATTCTATTATTTTGTCAAGTAGATAAACGGGCATGTTCTAAATTGTTCTAATTACACACTCAGTAAACGCGGGTATTGTTAACTCGCTAAAGTTTACTTTTCCAGTTCTGCTTTAACGACATGAAGAAAGTTGTCAATGCAACTGAGCATCACTACCTCTAAGGGACATTTTTAACTGCTCCGTTGCATTCTCGAGTCCTCGTGCATGACCTGCACACCACGCACTATAATTAGTTTTGAACAGGATAGTTGTCCTGCGCAAATATAATAAATACCCACCCAGTTGCCCCATTACTCTCTGTGCTAAGCTAAGTGCGAACTATTGATATGAAAAATATTTTATATTCTCATTCAAATAAAATTCATTTACACAAGAAAGTCAAGAAAGGTGTTGTACTTAGCCTAGTTTTGAAAGTGAGTGTTTTTGTAACTCGAAAGTGGCCTACGCGTCCCGAAATTGTTTCTGGGATCGTTAGTGGGGACACGCAGGTCCGCTATTGGCCAATTTTTCCTCTTCCCTAGGAGTCTTAACGAAAGTTGACTCGGCTGTTTCCTAGCTTCTCGTTTCTAAAGTGGCGAATTTGAGTTGAATTTTGCACAGTGGCAGATTCAGATAATCAAGTAAGTGAGGTCCATTTACCCGGACTCTAGCNTCGTTAGTGGGGACACGCAGGTCCGCTATTGGCCAATTTTTCCTCTTCCCTAGGAGTCTTAACGAAAGTTGACTCGGCTGTTTCCTAGCTTCTCGTTTCTAAAGTGGCGAATTTGAGTTGAATTTTGCACAGTGGCAGATTCAGATAATAAAGTAAGTGAGGTCCATTTACCCGGACTCTAGCTATGGAAAGAGGGGGGCTCGGCTTGAAAAAAAATTCTTTCTAGGCTCTTCTGGTCTCAGTTTGGCAAAAAAATAAAGATGGGGCCTGGGCCCCTGGACCGCTCCCCAAGATCTGCCATTTGTGTAATCAGGGAGACCTTTGCTTCATTGTTTTTGTTTTCCGATTATAGCTGTAGTCACCTTTAAACCCTAGAGGTAGCACCCTGTCGGTATTTTCCTTTTTTTTTTATCAGTAGCTTGTTATTACGGGTTTACGTTCCCTTCTACGGTGTGTTTCTCCAGAATTGCTATGAGTAGTTGTTGTTTTCCATGTGCTTCAAGATCACGGAAAATCCGGTTGAAAAGTAAATGGAACACGTCTTGTCGGGTCGTTCCACCATATCCAAAAGGACGGCTTTGCCGCTCGTATACTCATATATCGCGCTCGCTCGCAGGTTGTCAAGCAAAAGAGAGACTGCTCACAGTCAAACCCCATTTAGATTCTGTCATGCAGACATGAATTTTTTTCCACTGGAGATGTAAACTGGAGTCAATAAAGATTTTACAAGGGTAATTTAGCCCTGCGAGCAGAGGTTTCTCTCTTGCAAGGCTTTTAACGCTTAAGAAGTCGTTCGCGTGGTTTGTCTGTCGCGTTGTTTGTATTTTTTACGCCCTGAAAAATCGAACTACACGATATATTGTAGTATAGTATAGTATAGCCATTGTTTTCACACTCTAAAGTCTATGATAAAGGTTAAAATTTTTAATTTACACTCGTAAAAGTTTCATTAAAATGACCCCTGTTGACAGACCATTCACAAACCCAGAAGTGTTGGGGTCACTGGGTGTCTGGGTCGGGTAACAATGTGCAAACTATCAAGTCCAAAACCTCTGATTTACGAGATTATATATGCAGCACAGACATGGATATTTTTGCACTCACCGAAACCTGGTTAACAGAAAAAGATGTCGCTGCAAAATTGGAGTTTATGCCGACTGAGACACATAAGTTTGTACAGTAAGATCGGCTAGGGCGTCGCGGGGGAGGAACTGGGTTGTTAACATAGACGTAAAAAAGATCGATTCGGGAGAGAGAACTTCATTCGAGTTTTCCGAGTGGAGAGTCACGTATACGTCATTTAGGGCTAAGCTGATCATCATTTGTCGCCCTCCGTAATCTCAGGCACATTCAGTCACCCCTCGTGTATTCTTCGAGGAATTCAGTTCAAATCTCGAGTCAGTAATTTTGTCTCCAGAGCCGCTTATATTACCTGGTGACTTTAATTTTCATATGGACGTCGCAAGTGATGTGGACGCACGAGTATTTTCAAATTTACTAACGTCCATGGGTCTTAAACAGTATGTGACTGTACTAACACATATCAGTGGTCACACACTTGATCTATTGATTACTCGTGAGAATGATCCTGTCATCTGTATAGCCTGCGTAGCATAGAGAGATTGGGGCGGGAGCAACTGGTTTGTATTTTTCTCGCGGCTTCGCCGCTCGTGCGCCCGGCTCGACAAAACCGCCATGCTACGCAGGCTATCATCTGTAGCGCTCCCGTGGCTGACCTATATCTCTCAGATGATGCTTCTATGTTATGCACTCTGAGCTAGGCTCGCTTAAGCCTGGTCATGTTGTTAAGGAGATATCATATCGCAAGTTAAAGTCCATTGACTTTGATTCACTTCGCTCAGATCTTGAAAAGTCGAAATTGTGTACGAGGGACTTTTCTAATTTATGCGAGTTGACGTCGTTTTATAACTCCACGCTTTCATCCCTCCTTGAAAAGCACGCTCCTTCTCTGAAGAAGATGGTGATCAGTAGGCAACGCGTTCCCTGGTTTAACAGTGATATCAAGGAAGCAATTAGGGCGAGAAGAAGGGCTGACAAAAAATGGCGTAACACTAATTTCCAGCAGGACCTTCCTGCTCTCAAGGTTGCAGGTAATCACACTACATATCTCATGAACAGTGCACGTCGTGATTACTTCTCTAATCTTTTCGCTGAGAACAGTTCGAACGAGAGAAATTTGTTTCGTACAACCAATTCATTGCTATTTGAGCCGACTGATGTTCCGTTTCCAGATCACATACCTCCCGATGATCTGGCTAATAATTTTGGCAACTATTTAGTACAGAAGATTGAACTTATCAATGACTCACTAGACGCCCTTCGGTCATCTGAGCCTCTTGACGGCGATGGCGATGCGGCCGCAGATAATATGGGCGCATGCGCAAACTGTGTTGATCCTGATCCGCGCGAATGTGTAGAGTTCCCAAACTTCAAGACCTTGACACAAGACCAAGTTTCTTTGATTATTGGAAAGGCAGCC